TTCTTATCATTTAATCATCAGACCCTCTGATTTAACCTTGTTCAATGTACAATGGGATGTGGAGCTTCAGTATCTCAATCTAATACCATCAATACCATTCATCCAAACCAGGTAACTAGTATAATACTGTTTGCATATGGGTTGGGTTTGGTGTGCAGTCCTTGTAGTCCTTGTTTATTCCTGCGATTGCGAATGTGAAAAGGTTGGAATGGATAAGAAGGGCTTTAGTGAAAGGTGTGTGCCACACCCTTATCTAACCTTTGTCTCAACCCATTCTCTTCTTGTCTTAAAACCCTCACCCTGTCTCTCTTCCTGATTTCCAAGAGAAAAACAGACTGCAAGCAGTCTGGTATTGCTGCTATTTAATATATGTAGTAAGTTAGAATTCTAGTCAATCTCCTGACCTTGTATTGAGGGTTATTAAGTCTTACTTGGCACTCAAACTGTCCCTCCACTAGTAAAATTGTACAGTATTTTGATGTTAAACATGACAAATGCTGATGCATAATGGAAATAATGAAAATGATAATACAAGGAATGTGTTATGGTTCAAGAGATTTAAACACAGTTAAATCATATTGTGCCATGATAAAATATATCTATCTGTCTGCACACAGTGCAGACCTATTAATCATTCTTTTTGTTTTGTGTGACAGCCTGCTCCATTTCTAAGCAAAACATTAAGGTTGGCTGATAATGAAATTGTTGAAGAGGAAGATGATTTCGATGAAAGTGACAGTGAGACTTCATTGGCAAATGAGACAGATGATAATGAGCCATCAAGGGACCTAAGTTATGAAGGGCCAAAACAAGACCACCTGGTGCCCGTTGATTTGCAGATGGGACGTAAGATTCCTGAGAAAGACCCTGTGGTGTACAGTTTGCCAGCAAGAAAGCTTTTGATTGGGGATATCACTGATGATATTCCAGAGAATGTGAAAGTTGTGAGAATTTTTACAAGCTCAACATTTACAGGTATTTTAATTAAGAATAATATTTGGGTTAATAATTCCTCAAGTAAACACCTGTAGGTTGAGACGTACAGGTACTGAAGTGTGAAAGCCTAAAGGTGCCAAAACCTCATTTTCTGGTTGTGGCTTGAATTCATTTTCCAATTTTAAAAAGCTATTAAATACTAAGCCATCTGGTTACTGTGGTGTTTTTGCGGTACTAAATACCTGAACCAAAATGTTGATCACTAAGAGATACCCGGGGGAGGGGGGAGGGATTCCTATATAAAAATGATGGGGCTAATTTTGAAAAGAACCCCTAAGAGGTACCAAGATTCTGTTTTGTGTGTATGGCTTGAAATTGTTTTCTCCCTTGAGATGTACCACTTCTTACATAACACATTATCTCCTGTCATATTTTTTGGCTTAACACCCTAAAAGGTACCGCAAAAGCTCCTGCTGTGAACCTTTTGAGGCTTAACACCCTAAGAGGTACTTAAACCGCATTTTTAACCCCTAAACGTTACGACAAGCACTCCCATCATTTTTATATGGGAGTTCCCCCCCCCTCCACTCCCTGGGAGAGATACTACAATCATTCCCATCAGGTAAATGTAGGAGTCCCTCCCCAAGATGAATACTGGAGTCATGCATTGGCAGTGTGCAAGCTTTGAGCCATGTTTCATACTTACATTGCTGACCTCCCATCACCCTACCTTGACCGTGTGTTCAGACAGTTACGACGCCTGTACATACAGTATGCACCTAATGTCACCCTTGATGGCACTGGCCAATTGTTTAACTATTGTTTGTTTCAGACACGTCAGTTGAGCGAAACACTCTTATGGAACAGGTTTATCCCAAACTGAAGTCTTTCTGCCAGGAGCGAGGCTATGATTTCCAAGTGGTGGACATGAGGTGGGGAATCAGGGAGGAAGCCACAGATGATCATATGATGACAGAGTTATGTATGAGAGAATTGACCACCTGTCAAAAGCTGTCAACCGGTCCTAACTTTGTAGTAAGTACCACTTGCATGATAATGAGGTGATAAAGATGAAAATTGATCAAACTCGAATTCTGCCAACTATGAACTAGAAACCTATGAAAACCAGCGTGGTTGTTTTTCTGCGCCCGCGATCCTCTCCTTCCACGGTGGAGAGGATCGTGGGTGCGCCGAAACACCCATGGCTGGAGACTTAGCCTAAGGTCCAGCACACAGGTTAGGGCTACAAATTCAGTCCCATTTTTGATACAAGATAGAAATCTGAATTTGTTTTGTCATGCA